TATGTATTTACTATTTTATAATTTTAATTATAAAACTTTCATTATGTTATTTGTCACTACAAAGGAGCTGGCCATTTTAAACTTACAATTTGCTAATTAATTAAGGAAATAATTTCGAGATCTCTTATCTATTACAGCTTGCAACATTTTTGACTGCAGAATGCACTCCTGAACTTATAATAAAAGTTTTTTCTACTGTAATATTTTGTATTACATACATCATAAATTATAATGCATTTTGGATAAATACCGATAATGTAAGCAGTATCAATGTTATATTTAAAAAATACGCTTCATAAATAAATTCCCACATATGACAATATATTCAAGTTTTCTAATAACAAATTTTATTATTATTATAATAATATATAGGTAAAATGTTTAATGGAACGACTACAGCAAATATGTAACGAGTTAAAGGACGAAAATGAACTCAATATCATGAAAGAATACGGAAACAATGTAAAACGTTATACAACTGTATTCATATGTAAGACAACATAATAATGTGAAAATATATATTAATGTAAATATATGTATATTACACTGCTAAATGAAAATTACTCATAACAAGTTCTTCTTCTAAAAATTAACTAAATATAACTAAATATAAAATAAATTAAATATTATTTTTATATTTATATTAAAAATAATCATCATATTCTTCTAGAAAGTAAAAATATTTTAAGAATAATGAAAAAACAGAATTTTATAATACGTAATAAATATAGATATATGTATATGTATACATATATATACATCATTTTAGTCATTACGTTGAAAACGTAAAGAATTTTTTGTAATTAACATTTGCATAAAATATAATATAGAAGAGAAATAATTATATAGCACAAAAGTTTAAAAAGGTATCATATTTCGCTTTAAGTGGATATTTAAAAAATAGTGAAATATTTACATAATTATTTTTTTTTAATGTTCTTAGTGTTTGCCATGTCCTGTATATTTATCGGTATTTTAACGCAAATTTTGTGGATAATATTTGATATTGTTTTACAAACAAATGGATCTCATTCGCGCCAAATGCTACATATCATGGTATCTGAATCCTTTATCGATGAAGAAAAATATTATTACATAATTTTATTATATACAAATGTAGTCGTATGTATAGGAGCGATTACGTTAACTGCAATAGGAACAATGCTCAGAGGATATCTTATACACGTTTGTGGAATGTTTAAAATTGCCAGGTAAAAAATAAATCTACAAATAAATCATTTGTCAGATTTTGAACGTTATATAGTTCCAAACTAGATCTTAATATTGTCTTAATAGAAATTATGACTTATGGAGAACTGTATTTATAGCTTAAAATTAATTTGTAGTTATCGTATCGAGCAAGCATTCAAATATTCAATCAAAATATTCGACAGCATCGAGAACGAGATTATGATATACAAAGAAATAATTTGCGCTGTCGATATTCATTGTAAAGCTATAAAGTAGGTATCTATGTGTAACAGCATTTATATAATATTTGAAATAATATTTTACTTTTTTAAGGTATTCCGAATTTCTATTATCTAGTTTTGAAGGATCCTTTTTAGCATTAACAGTGATTAGTGTAATTTGTTTGAGTCTCAATCTTTTTGCAGTGAGTTTTCTCTTGTTTTTAAACATATTATTATTTAACGTGAATAAACGTAAATTATGTCATAATGTTTGAACTTTAAAAAAAATATATAAAAAAATATGAAATAAAAAACATAATTAAATAATTACGAAACTAATTAAAGACAAATTCTAATTTGTTTTTAACTATTCAAAATTGTTAAAAAAAAAAAGAATAAATGCAGATTATTTTATTGTATATATCATATGCTAAGTTTACATCCTGAATTTAAGTTGTAGCCTATCAAAAATCGATAAATTATTTGAACCCCTTTTGTAAGCATTGATAGATGATCTATCTTTAGTTCTAAGTCAGATCTCATTCTTACGTGATCTGACTTAAAATATGAAATCGCTAGTAAATTCAATGTCAAACTGTCAATATAAACTCAGTCAACTATCAACTAATCAATTTCGCGGTTTAAAAAATAAAAACATAACCGGCATAAAGGGCACTGAAACCTCGAATGTATTTTAAATTGCTTACGGTGGAAGCACAGAGTTTTGCATAATTATACATGCATAAGAAAATGAATCAATCAAAATTCTTCTTTTCTTCTTTTCCATGAAATAAAATATTCTGATTGATTGATTTTCGTATACTTTATGGATTATGCATTAAGCAAAAGTCTGTCTTCGATCTGAAACGATTGATGGCTAGACCTATCTTAAGTCACAATATAGGTCAGATCATGCATATGTCTCTCACTGTAAAAAAAAAACCAATTACTTGTAATCTATACTAACATATTTTTGTATACAAAATAAGTTACTTATTACTATAAGTATACCTAAAATTTTTACCATAGCCATAATATATTAGATTTTTCACAGTGTGTCCATTGGAAACAAAGAAGAATTCTTATTTCATCTTTTGATTGTGTTGGCTATTTTTGTGTATATGTTTATAGCTAACTATACAGGACAAGAAATTATGGATCACAATAATTATATATACATTACAGCGTAAGAAATTGTTTCATATATTGTATATAATTATCGCGTCTCCATTTTTATTTAATTCTAATTATTATCGTACTTATTCTTTAATTAAAATAAAGATTATTAATTTATAGTTATATAAATATTGAATTTAATATAATAGTTATGCACCCCAATTATTTGGGGAAGAGATAGAGGGCTTTTATTTATACTGTTTGTCAAAATTTAATTTCCAATATAATTCTAAATTTTTTATAGAACGAGTGCTTAAACACATTTCCACTAATAAGAGTAATAATTTAAGAAAATACGAAACACATAAAATATGACTAGTGCTTCTGGACGCTCTCTCTCTCTCCCTCCCTCTCTCTCTCTCTCTCTCTCTCTCTCCCCCCCCCCTCTTCTTTGTTTCTCTCTTTCAGTTTAATTTGGATTAATAATAAAAGATAATAATCAAAATGTCAGCAAATGTTTAGAATTTATTAAATTATTAGTAAAACATTTTGTCGGCAGACGAAAATCTTTTCATTATTGTCTTTGTTTTATAGATACAATGTTCGATGGTATGTAGCTCCAGTGTACACTCAGAAGTTGATACTTTTTATATTACAAAGAAGTGGCAAAGCAGTTGCTGTGAATTTTGGCAATATAATTGTGGTATCTTTAGAGTGTTTTGCCATGGTAATAATTATTCTATGTCATATAATATCTTAAACATGACTTATCACTTTCCCAATGATAATGCAACGAAAGACGTATTTCGTTACAGTTATTAAAAGCATCGATGTCTTATTTCACGTTCATGTATTCTACACAGCATTGACACGAAGGTTCATTACTTAACAAAAATCGGATGTTTAATTCTCACAATTAAAAGAATAAAATATGATTTAAGAAATGCTTGTATAAATCACAATGAATGTTAATGTAGTTGATTTTTTATTCCCAACTGCTGCCAACCGAAAGTACAACAGAGTATATACTTTTCTCCAAAATCGAATTGATTGTTACCTCAATTCTCAGTAATTACAATATAGTTTAATTGATATCCACATATATATGAGTTTCTTATTTGATTTGTAATATACAATTATCATTAGTTGTTCCGTAAAAAATATTATTTCAAACACATTATTTTTGCTCGGCTATTATTTCATCTACATGTTCTCTCATCGCTATTATAAGAAAAAAATCGTGCCGATATAAGCTTCTTTATGTTTATGTTTATGTTTATAAATAAATATGCAGAAACTTAGAAAATAGAATTTAAAAAACGCAGACGCAATGTAGTATACAAAATAGAGATGTTCCCAATAAGAAATTATTGTATGTGATATTTATACTACTAGGGGAGACGGAAATTAATTGTCGTGCGCGATAAAGTCATTAGATTTCTAAAATACAATTGATTTCAGAATTGATGCTCAAAATAGCCAAAGTAAACGTATATATAGTACATTATTATATAGTACATTATTTCAAGTACACATGTGTACAGTATAATCTATGTGTGACTAAATCCATGATTGTAGTCAGCCACTTTAAAAAAATGAGATAACCCGGATCGAGATAAAAACGTTTGCCCTGGTCGAATGATCTTTAAAAATACTCAAGCTCTTGCGGTGATCATGCATGTGTACTTTCATATTCCTGAACTGTATTTGCATGTATCCTTTATGCACTTTTATGCGTTAAATTTCTGCAGCAATAAATCCGTATTATATACTAAAAAACACATAAATTAAACATTCGTATATATTCTTTTGATCATAAATAAACTAATTACAATTAAAAAACATTGATTTACATACTTAATGGATTCATTTTTCCAAATAAAGTACACTGAAAAAAAATATAGTTAATTTTATATAAATATTTAGTTGAATACTAAATTAAATATTTATTAAAATTGACTATATTTTTTTCTCAGTGTACATATTCATTAATTTGAAATGGCCGCGTTATGCATCAAAATGAATACAAGTTTGTGATATTTTATAGATCTAGTGACTTTAGTACGTAGTTGATTGTCAAAATGTTGTAATTCAAACAGGATATGGTAGAAAAATCTCTTTTTTTTTACTATAGATTGCTGATATAATATTAATTTATTATGTAAAATGATTTGCACCACGCATAGGCATATATTATTTATAGCGA